GGGAGTGCTTTTTCTCACCATTTCACTTTATGCATCATGATTTGACATGCTTCATTTTCTGAAAAGTGTCCTATGTTCGATATTTGGTTTCTCTCATGTTTGGTATGGAGTATAAGTGAAATGGTGGTAAAGATTTGTTATGAGGTTGGTGAATAGGGGAAGGGCTTACCTTTTGTTCTAGTTTTTTTGCCTAGTTTTTTGTTGCATTTTTAGTAGTAATCTAGTTACAAATATCAGTAGAGAGACTACTTTTATATCCATGATTTCATATTAAATTGGAGGCTCTGTGCCAACACCCAGGACTTGCTCTGCTGTATATTACAAGTGGAGATGAGCTCTGAATGCCAGGGTAGAGGCTCCTGATGAATCAGCTGAGTGGATCCTCAGATGACTCTGCTGGTGGCTGGCTAGCATCAAATCCTCAGCTGACCTGGCAGGCACTGTTGGCTGCCTACTTGGCTCGGGTCAGGAAGATTAGATGAGTAGAACAGTTTGACTGAGCCAGCAGCACCTGTGACATTCTGCGTGTAGGAAGTTAACAGAGCACCCATAATTTTTTGCTCCCCTCTGTTGCAACTACCTGTTTTTTTGGGGGTGTTTTTTGTCTCCCAGGGAAAATATATTTGCCAGTGTTTTCAAAGAAAGACACTTTCTGCCCCCCTCCCTTCATTCTGCCCTTCAAAAACGAGATGCATATCTTATTTGGAGGCATGTTGTATGCAAGAAAATATGGTGGAATAAATCTCATTCTCTCATCCACAAGTTGTGCAGAGCTAAAGCATGTTTAAAGGCACTCTGTGAGGTTTTGGGGTCTCCTTTTGGCTCTTAAACATTAAACTGCTCTTAATATTTACAGTGGCTCTTCTGGTTTAATTCAAACCTATAATGTGATATAAAATGTTAAGTGTTTTTTTTCTATACTGCTTTTCAGAATACCTACTTTTTGACTTAACCGTTTAATTTATCACCTTAAACTTCCCACTCTTTCTCAAGTAGTAATTTTTACATACAGTTGACCTCTTCAAAGTATGTATTGGTTTAATGAAGACAAGCTTACCAGTGCATACAAGTTAATTTATAAAAATGTTTTTCCAAGTTCATCTTAGCAATAGGTCAAAATAGAAATAATTGTCTTTCACAGGGATGATAAAAATTTATGCAACAAAGCTCTGGTGAGTGAAGTCAAGGCATTATGCAAAACAGATTTGGTTGCTGCACTCCGGAACCTCAATGCGAACAATCTGAATAGCCATCAGGACATCCCGCAGCAGTCAGAAACTGGTTCGTTTGTTTTAGTGTGTAACTGGTTAGTTTGTTTAATGTGAAAACAGCTACGTGAGGCATGTTGATCACAAATAAGTTTGCAAAAACAGATGCTGTCCAAATCTTTGAACCATTCACCATTGCAGTTGAAAATCTAATTTCTGTTCCCCAAAGGTAATTTTTAGTTTTCTTTAAAAGTTTGAGAGCTTAAGTTTATTTCCTTCAGACACTTAATATTGACAAGTTCACATGTAATTTTCCCAACCAAGTAAGTACCAAGATGTCCATAGAAAAGGAAATTTCATTTATTTTGTTTTAAAATATGTGCTTTTATTTTATTGAAAATTCCATTTTCTTTTGTTTTTAAAACAGGGTAACACTAGCACCAAGAATTAAGCATATAAATGCTAAGATTGCTCCCTAATACTGTCAAATGTGAACACCTATGCTTGCATTTTGAGCAGTGGGTTATAATGCTGTTAGTTAACACCCAGGTGGCCAATTCTTATTGCTTAAGATACAAATACAGTTGTCTGTAATCAAGAGTATTGGGTAGAGTTCTTGTTTATAAACAGGCAAAGTTGCAATGGATTTAGTTTAACTTAAATAATTTAGCCAGAGCTATACTTACCTTTAGAAGGATCTTTTAAGTTGCATAGATAAAATGTGGAGTAGAATCATGAAAAAATAATCTGGGAAATTAGGTTGTCTTCACCAGAGACTTTTTATAAAGAAAAACAAGAAGATATAATTGGAAAAATGGGAAAACTTAAGAAAATGAAAGTTTTGAGTTGATACTTGGTGAAGTCCTGAACAGGGTGTCAAACTCATCTTGCCCAATAGGCTGGATGAGTGGCACAGGGCTGGTCTGTTGGCCTGGTCAAGTCCACAGACTCCCCTGCCTGCAAGTTTGATCCAGCGCACATGATAACCACCTGGGCTGTTCTGAGATGCTTGCCTGAGTGGACAGTATAACCCAGGACCAAGCCCCAGTGAGTGCTATGGACAGTGCACATCCTGGGCGCTGTGCACAGGGCCAGTTTCATACAGCATGCGGGTCAACAGGGGAACACTGGGGGCTGGTTTGTGGGGCTTTGTGGAGCTTATGTTTGACACCGCAGTCTACAGAAAATAATGGTTGAGGACCACAGAATTTCAAGGCCTACATGCAAATTTGGTAGTCTTCTCACCTCTTTTTCTCAGATTCTTTTGATACCACATATATAAATCTCATAAATTTATAACCAGAAACTTGATAAACAGCCTGTTTTCTCTTTACCATTGGTTAGAAAGCAGAGAAAATTATGCAGACATAGCTGAATTTACTTAGAGACTACACTATTAGAGCATCCTGAGAGGCCTGTAAAATGAAAAGTCAAGAGGCTGAGTGAGCTCCTTTCATGCCCTGGGAAGACCAGGAGAAGGAAAAGATACTATACTGACTGTGAAGAAGGGTTGGGGGTCTCACCTGCCATAGATTCATAGATGTTTGAGTTGGAAGGGACCTTAGCAGATTGTCGAGTCCAACCTCCTGCCTTGGGCAGGAAAGAGCACTGGGTTCAGATGACCCCACCCAGGTGCATGTTTAGCTTTCTCTTATAGACCCCCAAGGTAGGGGGAACACTACCTCTCTTGGAAGACCATTCCAGATTTTAGCAACCCTTACTTTTAAAGAGGTTCTTCCTGATGTCTAACCTAAATCTGCTGTCTGTCAGTTTGTGGCCATTGTTCCTAGCTACTCCAAGGGGTGCCCTGGTAAACGGAGCATCTCTTGCTGTCCCCCCTGATGAATTTGTAGGCAGCCACAAGATCACCGCTCAGCCTTCTCTTGCAGAGGCTGAAGAGATCCAGGGCTCTCAATCTCTCCTTGCAGGGTTTTGCCTGCAGCATTGGT